TATACATGTACAAAATTCTTTTAAAATCACAAATATTCAAAGAGCAGAATATAATAAAATGTACTTTACACAGAATGTAATTTTTTATAATTTAGAAGGAAATCAAGATAGTAAACTGTCACAAAATTTTATATCTAAACACAAACTATCCAAGTACTCATTCTCCCACTAGGTTCTCAGTGCCAGAACATTGGGGAATATTTGTTGAGTCAATGAATAAACTAGTTTCTTTTGTATTAGAAGGCACACATACTTAATAGATGTGATTCAACCAACATTATAAATAGTAAATATTACTAGTCAATTAGATTACTCATTTTCTTACCAAGAAAATATTGTTAGCTCTACTTAAAAATTTCATTTTGAAAACCATTCAAGATAGATTTTTCCCTTCTCTACACACAGGAGTCAATTTGCAAAGCCAGGAAAGACATATTACTCCTTTCATTTTCCCTTTCCTCATTACCTCTTAAGTATTCAGCAGTATGTTGGGTATTAGTTTGCATCAGGGTATATGAACAAAAAGAATATACAGACAAGAAATAAATTTCATGCTCTGTCTTCCTTTCATGGAAGACTTAGAAGCCACACACTGAAGATAGCAGCATCACTTTTAAAGAATGAACCGAGTCCCTGAATGGCTCCACGGAGCTAAGCTGAACCCAAACACTATATGGAACACCACATTTTCATAAGGCACAAAAATCCTGAAATTGGAGTTTACAATTTAGAACCCAGCTGAAGCAGTGCATCTGTGTTGTAGTGCTGTCTGTCTAGAGGAAACATCTCTAGAGTGACCCAGGTAGCCCTAAAAGCAATGATGGAATTTGGGTTGCAATCAAGAAATTCACCATGGCTATGTGCACACATTTGTTTGAACACTGTTTAAAAACATCTCCTAAAAAGTCAAGAAACCTGGATCAAATTCTTGCTCTTCCACTAATTAACTTATAATTGAGAGCAAACAATTAGACATTTCTAAGTTTTGTTTTCTTCATTTGTAAACAGCCAATTATCCATTAAATAAAATGGGCTGGCTCACTTAGGCACTCAATACATGTTTGCTTGCAAACAACCACCCCCAACCTATTAACACAAGGGCTCCAAACTCATATACCTGGTAAATCTATGAAAAAGACAGTTACTGTCATCATATTTGTGGTACAAATGGCTTTTTACAACATCTGTATGTTGGGTTTAAAAAAAATCTACCTTAAGAAAAAGAAGCCAAACTTGGACTTCCCTGGTGGTGCAATGGTTAAGAATCCACCTGCCAATGCAGGGGACATGGGTTCAAGCCCTGGTCTGGAAAGATCCCACATGCCGCAGAGCAACTAAGCCCATGTGCCACAACCACTGAGCCTGTGCTCTAGAGCCCACGAGGCACAACTACTGAAGCCCTTGCGCCTAGAGCCCGTGCTATGCAACAAGAGAAGCCACTGCAATGAGAAGCCCGCGCACAGCAATGAAAACTCAATGCAGCCAAAAATAAATAAATAAATAAATAAATAAAATAATAATAAATTTACATTAAAAAAAAAGAAAGAAGCCAAACTAAATAAATCCTGAACAGGCAGGTCTTAGAACGTGTATTCTAAGAATTCTAAGAATAAGAATTATTCTTATGAATTTGTTTTCTGTAAGTCAGATGTTTAGAAGTAGCAACATATTTTCCTGTAAAAGTAAGTTTTAAGATTCCCAAGCTAGTTTATTTAAATACAGCCAAAATATGGATCTAATTGGTGTTATATGACCATCACCACTTTGAACAAAGACTTCAGTGGAATATGTATTCAGAGTTCCAGCTTGGGATGATCCTTGGGAGGTATCTCTCCCTACTAAAATCCCAGTAGCTAGAGCATAGGGACTTCCTTCCACCAGTCACGACTCTAATCTTCTAACCTATTAGGATGTAGGGCTAGAACACTGCCTGTTCTTCCGTACCCATCCCACCTCCACACTCCAAACTCAAGGAACATGTGCATATAATCCCTTAGGACAAGGATGGAAATACGGATGGCATAGGAGGGGGAGGCAAGAAACTTGGGCCTCTCTTAAGGGTAATTTAAAAAGTAGGCAGGCACAGAGTATGACTAAGAAATGCAGATTTTTTTTTCAAATCTCTCTCTTTCATATACTTACTACCACTGAAAAACCAAGCAGAATGAGGGCCAAGGACTAGATGGAGAAAGCAGGGCTGAACAACATGGAACCTCTTCTACAGTGGCAACTGGATCAAATTTTCCCTTCTCCTACTTCTCTCTGCTCTACTAGTATTACAAACAAGAAAGATGATGCTCAGTCCTTCCACTAGACCGTGAGTTCTTTAAGGACAGGTATCATCTCCTGCACAACTTCATACCCTTGGTGCCTGAAAATCTGGCACACAGTAGGTGGTCAGTACATGTACTGCACGAATGAACAAATATAACGGTAGTCAGTGCTACGAGCCATCATTCAGAACCCCTTTGTAACTGCAGGGCTTATTTTCCTATCTATTGGGAGTACTGCTGGCAGACAGTCTTCAGCTCTCTGCTCTCTTAGGGAATTGCCTTATCTGAAGAGAGCCATTTTGATCCAAGATCATTGTGCTTCTGGGGCAGTTTGCATCTAAGGATTGGGGATATAAAGGTCCATCTCCCCTCACCCCAACTTGAGACAATTCTGAGGACCATCCCAGCTTCAGAGCACCCTTTTGGGGTTGTTGAGACTTATCAAGTCTAACCTCTCCTGTGGAAACTGGGCTTTGTTCCTTTGTATGGCACTGGTCCCCAGAGGCCTCCCTGGTAAATTTGCTACACTCTAATTTCCATCTCAGAGTCTTTCAAAATCCCAACCAGAGACAACAGTTCAAAAGAGGATCTAGGTCTGGCTCAGATTGAAACCACCAAAGGAAAGGTATTTGACTTCACATTAAAGGTCAGTAAATATAAAAGGTTTTATAAAGGCTAAAGAATGAACTCTTTTATTCCTAGCAATTTGTTTCCATTTCAGCCACTGTAAGTAATCAAGAGACCTACAGTATTTTACAGAGTGAAATAAGTCAGAAAGAGAAAAACAAATGCCATATGCTAACACATATATATGGAATCTAAAAAAAAAAAATTTGTTCTGAAGAACCTAGGGGCAAGATAGGAATAAAGACGCAAACGTAGAGAATGGACTTGAGGACACGGGGAGGGGGAAGGGTAAGCTGGGATGAAGTGAGAGAGTGGCATGGACATATATACACTACCAAATGTAAAATAGATAGCTAGTGGGAAGCAGCCGCATAGCACAGGGAGATCAGCTAGGTGCTTTGTGACCACCTAGAGGGGTGGGATAGGGAGGGTGGGAGGGAGACGCAAGAGGGAGGGGATATGGGGATATATGTATATGTATAGCTGATTCATTATGTCATAAAGCAGAAACTAACACACTATTGTAAAGCAATTATACACCAATAAAGATGTTAAAAAAAAAAAGAGACCTAGAGTATTTTGAGGACTGCTTCAAAAAAGTACATCTGTTTTACTATCATGTAAGCTACTAATGTACCAAGTTCAATTCTCAACTTACTTAAAAGAAAGCAAAAAAATTTAAACATTAATGAATTCAGTGTAAACATGGTATAAAGCACTGCAGAGAACAGAGCTGTTCTTATCCTGGGTGTTAATCAACATGTGACATGATAAGGAATTAATTTTCCACTAAAAATTACTCAATATATTAAGTACAGTACTTTTAATCACAATTAACAGTTAAAAATACAATGCTTACATAAAAGTCATTGTTGAAATATGGAGTTACAAATTACCAGAACTATTCAAGGCACAACTCAGTAAACAAAACAAAAAACAACAAAACTGATGAATAACTAACAAAACTATTTGCTTTATTTTGGACTCAAATAATACCTTAACCCTACAAGAATGGTTGATGAGGTTTAACTATGAAATTGAGGTTCAAGAATTATTTCAAGCATATAAGTACTCATTTTTTCAGATTTTTTTTAACTGTAAGACTACCTGCCAATTTGCTAAATAGCATGGTTTGCACTAGCCAGGTTTTCTAATACCACCTAATAATTCATGCTGACTACTAAAATCTGGAGGTTTTACCAAAATGTATAGATAAATATATTCAGCTTTCCTACAGAAGTTAAATGAGTGGACTACGTACAGCAAAAGTTTGTCTATAACTCCTGGAAAATGGTCCAAAAGGCATTTAGCAGATGTGTATATACTACTTGCCAGGATAAGAGATTCTTAATTCTATGTGTACATATTTCAGAAAACATACCTGGACTTAAATCATCTGCTATGTGGGAACTGAAGAAGCATGCTGAGTGACACTGAATACCAGCACGCCCTTTGCCATATTACTTCACCATTACATTCTCTTCTTTTCTTTCAATAACACAAAAGTTAACTAAGTAATATTACATATCTGCAGAGACATGTTTTAAAAGTCACAAGATGATATTTAATTAAAGAAAACTGAAAATGGCAGGGCACTGGGAGGACCTGGTGCTAGTACTAATACACATAAAGCATTTCAGCCAAAATTAGTATCACTGAATTGCTATAATCGGATCCCACACAAATGTTTCATTAATTTATTTAATCCTTAGCTTTTCTATCATAACATAAAAGCAATCACTCAGAACCCATCTTTATTTTTTAACACTGCTTTTATTTAATTGTGCTTTCCTCTGAATATTCCTGCACATATTTCCTTGTTGTTTGCTGCCTTCTATAAAGAAATGCATTAAAAATCAGAATTATTATTAGCTTCATGTATAACAGCATAATATTCAATTTCTTGCCAAAATAAAATTCAGTACCATATGAGTCACTTTATTTTGTGGGTTTTTTAAAAGATGGTTACTCTGCAATTAATTATTTAGAGGGGCAGCTTCCTATCGGCAGATCCTCCTTCACCTACAAAGAAACACAGTCATCTCTTAAAATTTATGTCATGTGGCATATCTAAGATGTATTAGGCCTCTGTCACCTTACCATGAACACTTCCTAATGTAATATCTCCAGCAGCAGAAGATAGAAATGATGATTCTGTGTAAAGACACTTGGCTTTCAGCAAACCATCTTCAGTAGATACATTAACAGAACTTCCCTGCAGTTTATCTACGGTCACAGTCTAGTAAGAGAAAGACTCAAATCAGTTCATTATAAAATGAAGACTGGTAAAAAGCCAGAATTAGTGGGCAACTAATATGTACAGTACATGGCCAATTTATTGACTTCAATTCCCCAGCTCTAAATACAAGATTATGAGCAACAGTGTTTTCTCTGTGGAATAGACCCATTATATTCCTTCATTTATTTAGATCTTCTTTAATTTCTCTTAATAATGTTTTATATTTTCTATGTAGAGTTCTTCATCTTTTGTTAAATTTATTCCTATTTGATGTATTCTAAATGTTATTATAAAAGATAGCTTTTTAAACTTCATTTTATCTTAACTGGCTTTTGTATTTGACCTTAAATCCAAAACCTCACTAAGCTCACTTAACTGATTTTAATAATCTACCTGAATTAAAACAATTTTTCTACATGCATAATTATATTCTTTACAAGTGATCGTTTCATTTCTTCCCTTCTAATCCTCATATTAATACTGCTTTTTCTGTTCTTTCCCGCCTTACAATCTGGCTCAGGCCTCCAATTTAACAGTGAATAGAAGTGATGAGATAACAAGTAAGCATCCTTATCTTATCCCTATTCTCAGAGGGAAATCTTACAACATTGCATCATTAAGTATGGTGTTTGCTATAGATATCTTCTAGATCCCTTTTTTTTAGATTAAAGAAGTTCCCTTCTATTTCAAATCTGTTTTGTTGTTGTTGCTGTTTAACTCATGAATGGGTTTTAAATTTTAGCATACACTTTATCTGATTTTATTGGACTCTCGTATGATTTTTCTTATTTCATCTGTTAATGCAGTGAATACACTATTACTTCTAGAATTTTTCCACTTTACATCTAATTAGTCAGTAGCTTTCCAATGAACAAAACGGAAGGATTTTTGTATTTATCCCTAAACTTCTCTAACAAAATTCAGTATGCATTTACGTCTCAAATATTGAGCCCAATGTAAAATGAAGGTGTCTAATTAAGGATTCCAAATGATCTTTATAGTATTTTAAACAAATGTTTTATAAGCATAAAGTGAGCGTTAATATAAAATTGTTGACGTAAAAACTGAATCACTAGGAAGGCTTCTCACAGTTTTGCCCAGGGTCAAATTCAAGCATTACACTGAGGTATTTAAAGAAAGAACATCATTGTTTTTCAACACATTGGCATCAGTATTATATTCAATCGTTATACTTCCTTCAAAAATTGTTGAGTTCAAAATATTATTTAATAAGAATTGAGTTTCAAGAATACTAAAATATTAGAAGACAGATAAACTATAAAAACAGAAATTAAAGTACCCAGAGGTTGTTATGGAAAGCAAACTAAAATTACTTTGCTGTCCAGATTTGAAGTATATAATTTTGGTTTTTAATGGACTTTTATTAGGTATATAAAATACCAATTGCTTCTTATCTGCTACAGCTAATTATGGATTCATAGGAATTTTTTAAAAATCTAGTTTCAATAAATCTGTCAAAGAAAGATATTTTATATACATTCAGATTCGTGAGAATACACGTTTTGCGTTCCTCAGTGTAATAGTAAGGTTTAAAATTTCTGAAAAAATTTATGCTTTACCTACAAAATTTCTTCATGAAAAGTTGCTTTATGCATAGCTTAAAATTCTCCAAGTATTTCCATAAAGCAGACAACAAGTATGAATACTCTAGCTTTTTATAAATAGTGAGGCTGTTTTAGGGAATATGAAAAGATAAATGTTGCAAGAAGACTTGAAACTTAATTGAATTGGCAAGGGGGAACTTTTGATTAGACTCTCCCCACAACCAAATAAAGCTTTTAAGACACTCCTTATGAATATCAGGAAAATGCCAAGGATTTACTTTGTTCATTAAACACTAAATATCTTACCCTGTAGGAAGCTAAAAAATATCCTCCCCTGCCCCACCAAACTAAATGAAAGCAAGCAAAAGTACAACACTCCTCATCACAATAATATAGCTATTTTAACCAATCAATCCGTAAAATTAATTTCAAAGAAATAGAAAATTCACTAAGGGCCATATATAATGCACTATATCAGATACTAACTAGAACAATTAAACTTAGGACACCATAGTTTACAGCAAAATATTGAGGATCTTATTTATAGTTACTAATGCTAATGGAAAAAACACTCAAAAAAATAGATTAAACTGTACAGCTTGCTTATTAAGTGAAGTAGATATTTAAAGAAAGAACAAAATGTAGATCCAAAAATACCTTTCTTAGAGAGATAGTGCTATAAATTAATTTGCTTTTCTATACAAGAGGAAATTTTTTTCATAAAGTTTAATTATAAATCAACATTATAAAATAAAAATGAAGTTTTAAGGAAAAACTGTGGCCTTGTAGCCCAAACTAAGAAAGAAAGATCAACTGATAACTATATTATCAATTCATTCAACAATCATTCATTCAACAATCCATTCATACAATGGATTTCTATCTTGTCTGTATTAAACTTAGGATACTGAAATTAACAATACAATTTAAAAACAGCCATTCCATATAAAATGATACATAAAGAATATACCGTTAAGTGTTTATAATGCTCACTTGATTCTCACAATCTTTTTGAGCAGAAAAAACAAACAATACCATCCCTATTTTATGAATAATGAAACACAGTCTCAGTAAAGTTAACTGGTAGGTCTAGGACTGGCCAAATTACCGTTCCTGTGTTTTATTTACCTTTATCATCATCATTATAGTCGACACTATAATGGAGTTAGCTATGCAAGACATTATTTTAAGTACCTTATCTGTATTATGCATTAACTCATTTAATCCTCATAACAACCAGTGTGAGTTAATGTCATTACTATTATTCTATTTTCCAGAAAAACAGAGGTTAAATAACTCATCTGAAGTTAAAGAGCTTAGTAAGTGGCTGAGCCAGGATTCAAACCCAGGTACTCTGGTTCTCAATTATGTGCTCTAAACCAATTCACTATGCTGCCTCTCAAATATCCAAAACACATTTCTATGGAAGTTGTATATTAAAAGTTAACATATTTCATAAGAACTTATTTTATATAAAACCTCAGAAACTTAGAAATATGCCTTAAAAATTAATACTATGCATAATATAAATAGAAAGAAATATCAAAACTGATTCTTTAGTACAACACAAAACTCCATCAGGCAGGAAACAAAATAGTATAACAGAAAGTAGGAATAAATGAATATTCAATAAACCATGAAAGTTGAGAGGATAATGAGTGGAAATAGTGGTCAAAATATTAAAGATAGAAAATAATTAAGACGATTTAAATTCCTCTTTGATAGTTACATGTGAACATCAATATGCAATATTCTGCAACTGCAGTTGTCCAATTTCCCTTTTGCACCTCCAAGACCACAACAATCAGAGAGGTGAAACTAAATGCTGTCTCAAAACAGCTGCCACATAAAGCCAGGCAGTGTCTTTCACCACTTTTTAAAAAGATAAATTTGAATATTTGGGTTTAAACAGTCTCCCACAGGTTCTAAGAGAAAGGTGATGGAAAATAAAAGTGACAATTGTAGAACAATTAGTGTTATAACCTACCTTGTTTAATTATGCCAACAATAATCTACATATAAGATACAATTCCTCCCCACCAGTTATCGGAGAATACAGCTGAGTATGGAATTGAACAAATTTATGACAAAAGAATCCTTGCAAATTGTCTAACTGTAAAATAAAAGGTGGCTCAGACCTTTCTAAAAGATTTAAAACATTACTGATCATGCTAAAAAATTGTGACAATTTATACTTCAAAATTATACCTTTATTCTTAATACTATGCTAAGCCACAGAAAGCAACAAAAGTTGACTGAAAAAATGCAAACTGTCTTATAACAATCAAAGTTCCTATGGATAATAAAAGCTTTTGGAGAACAGTAATGCTGTCTAATGGTGCCATCTTGTGGAAAACACTGAAGAAAGTTGAGTTTCGATACTCCTAAAATTGCCTAAAGGCAAAATAAACAGGACTTGGAAAAAATACTCAAATAAACCTAACAATAAGAAAAATTTAATCCTTATTTTGGTATTATGTAATGACTGATTTTAATCCATGATCATTAAGATTAAAATCTCTTCAGAATTAGAATTCAATATTAAGTATTTGCAAGGGATGAACTGGGAGTTTGGGGTTAGTACACAAACTATTACATATAGAATGGATAAACAACAAGGTCCTACTGTATAGCACAGGTAACTATATTTAATATCCTGGGATAAACCATAATGGAAAAGAGTATAAAAAAGAATGTATATGTGTGTATAACTGAGTCACTTTGCTGTACTGCAGAAATTAACACAACACTGTAAATCAACTACACTTCAATACAAAAAAATTTTTTAAAGAAATATTAAGAATTTAAAGATGTTATTGAGGGAGTTCCCTGGTGGTCCAGTGGTTAAGACTTCGCCTTCCAATGGAGGGGGTGTGGGTTCAATCCCTGGTGGGGAAGCTAAGACCCCACATGCCTCGCGGCCAAAAAAACAAATCATAAAACAGGAGCAATATTGTAACAAATTCAAAAAAGACTTTAAAAATGGTTCACATCAAAAAAAAAAAATTTAAAAAAATAAAATAAAACGTAAAAGTTATAAAAAGATGTTACTGATTCCAAATAAGTAACTAAATATCTATCAAAAGTAGTAAATCACAAATTTAAAATTAAATTGTATAATATTTAATCATCGCAGTTCAAGTTTGAATTTACTAATTAACTCAAATGCATTAAAAAGGGAATGTTTTGCCACAAATTTTGTAGAATCTACCCACTGTGTGAGCCAACCAGATGCAAAATTGCAAGTACTAGGAAAGAAAATTACAATCTTACACTTTTATCTGATGCATGAATATCTATATTTCCATAAACTGTTCCCAGGCAGATCACTTTACCTCCTTTTGTTTGAATATGTAATTTTTGACTCTGAAAGACAAATACAAAAATTCACATAGAAAAAGAGACAATAAATTTGACTTATACTAATAAAAAATGTTCCAACATTTTATACATTTCTTTTAAAATAATAATAAAGCAGTAAAAGAGGAAGTAGAAATGAATAGAAATGCACTGTTTGGAATAATAACATCAGTGAGAAAAGAATGTCAACTGCTGTTAAAGTGATTAAATAAAGCTCCTTGGACTCAAAGGAAAAAAAAAAGATACTTGGGTGTTCTGGTAGCTTCACTGAAGAAAGGGTTGGGAATCAAAGATCACAATGGCTAACTAAACATACATCATGATGAGGATGACAACAATAATCACTGTTCATCGTTATTAATATTCATCATTAATAACAGTAATATTTATTACTTACTTGGCATTTTCTTTGCACCAAATAACAACGTTCACTACTTTATGTGAACTAACATTTAATTCTCACAATTCAGAGATGGGTATTATATTTTTCCCATTTTACAGAGGAAGGAATCCAAGAATCAGAAAGGTTAAACAACCTTATCAGGTGACACATTAGAAAACAACAAAATCTAAACTAATAGACTCAAGCTCTGTATGATTTCAAATCCTACATTCTTATTGCTGGAGTCACCTGAAGAAGTATATATTCACACTTAGGATAACAACCCACTGACTGTTAAACTTTCTAGTACAACACAGCCCAGAAACTGGAACTAAATGAAAATGTCTCTAAGAAAATAGCAGTTACGGTTAGCCTCCTCTGCTAGACAAAAAAAAATGTGTGTGTATGTAACACTTGATTTCACACTTGGCAAGTGTGGCAGAAACTATGATAGGTCCACAAAAATCCACTTTTTCCCCAAGTACAGAGTATAGCTGGGCCCATGAAGAGACAATGTTTTCCAGCTTCCCTTACCTCCTAGGTGCTGCTCAGTTCTTGCCAACAGAATATAAATAGAAATGTTATGTGCAATTTCCAGGCTGGTGCTTTTAGAAGAACTAATGTGCGTTCTCTGTGCTCTGCCCCTGCCACCAGGTGCACGTATATTACAATAAGGCTCTAACAGATAGCAGAGCCAGAAGATGAAGGGAACCTACAATACCTGAATAGAAATGAGTCACCCACACACTTGGACACAAATGAAAAATAAACTACAGTTGTGTGTGAGCCATTAGATGTTTGGTCTATTTTTTAGGGTAGCTTACTTCACCTTAATATTTGCACAAGTCTTCAGTTCTACCACATCTATAAAGAGAAAAAGAATAGGTAAATACCAGAAGAAGAAAAATAGCAAAAGCAAACCCACCAATATCATAACCAGCAACGGTAGAGACGTTATCTAAAAACTGGGAAAAAAAATACAAAACAACCTTCTGGTTGCTTTACTCAGGGGGAAAAACAGTAAAACCTTGGCTAAAATGGCCCAGGAATGAAGTTAAAAAAATTCAGTGAAAAGGGCAAAATGAAACATTCTTAAAAAGTTTATCTATATTACAGCATGGTAGACTTCATGCCCATAGAAACATGACTCAGAAGTCAAACTGTATTTAATACAGTCTTTATCAAGCAGACAAGTAACTGATGAACCTCAGAAAAAAGTATCTCCAAAACAACTGTTATTTTATTTAAATCAGGAGTTCTTAACCAAGTTTACACGACATTCTAGACAGTCTGTGAAACTTATGAAATTGTAAGCAAAATTTCATATGTGTGCATTTTTTCTAAGGAAATAATCATATTTTCAAAGAGGTCTAAAGCACAAAAATGTAAATAGCTATCATTAAGTTCAAAGCTCATCTAATTTCAAAAAATGTAAAGTAGATTATAAAATTTAAAAACATACTGATCTTGGGTGGCCTCGGCCTGCAGCAAGATTTCAGTTCCCTGCCAGAGACTGAAGTCAGGCAGCAGCTGTGAGAGCTCTGAATCCTAGCCACTAGACCACTGGGGACCAGTGGCCAGTGACAAGGCCCTAGACTATCAGCTGTGTAGAAATGAATTTTCACATAGAGACGGAAAGTAGTGAAGCAAGTAAAGTGTTTAGGAGGAAAAAGTACAGTTCTTGTGGATAGAAACATGGGTGGGCTCAGAGAGAGAGTTGCCACCTTGTGGTAGTTTGAATCACTTTTATGGAACATTTCTTCCAGGTTTCCTTTGACCAATCATCTTGCTTTGCCTGGTTCTGAGTCCGTATTTGGTATATCTCAGGATCTTCCCCGTGTGTGTGCGCATGCATCTCTCAGCCAAGATGGATTCTAGCAAAGAGGCCTATGCATAGTTGACGTCACTTACTCTGGGGTGGTGCCCCCTCCCTTGTGGACCTCCAAGAAGCCTTTCTGGGCATGTGTAGTCGGGAAGGTCTCCTTGACTTTGAGAATAAGGAATATGTGGTCTTTTATCTCTTATCTGGGAAGGGCCCAGCCTCCTCTCTCCATTGTCCTGCTATTGATATTTTGAAGTTTCTGGCCACAGTGAATGAACTCCAGCTGCTTACCCTGGGGCCCATCTATCTCCTGCCTCAATATGCAAAACAAAGTAGTTAAAATGTTTAAATAAATCAGAAGCTATTTAGTATAATATAAACTATTACTATTGCATTTTTTAAAAATGCAAATATGTGGCATTCAGTGAGTTAGTACTGCCAGACATTTTGCTTGGACAACAAGGAAAGGTGGAAAGAGCATGAGCTTGGAATGCAGAAAGACCCAAGTTCAAATTTTAGCTCAATTTATTAGCTGTGGGAACCTAAATGAGTTCCTTAATCTCTTAGTAGCTCACAGTTTCTTCCTTGATAAAAAGAAGATAATTCAAGGATTAAATGAAGCCTTAGCTACATTTCTGGGTACATAATAAGGACTCAGTAAACAGTAGCTGTTATTATTGCTATAAACATCTTATAACATACATCAAATATATTTCAAATCCTTAAAATGAGTGGAAGAGAAACTTACATTAATAGGCGATCACTAATTAGAGATAATGATATTGTACTATATTTAAAACTTAAACCAGATATTTCACGAAGCGTTCCCATTCTGAATTTAAGTCAGTTAAATCCTAAGATCTCAAGAATAATTCTCTTACCTCTTAATTCTCCTAACTACCATTAAGATTCAGCGGACCCAATTCTAATTCTTGAATTTCTTTTTTGAGCTATTCTATTTGTAGGACTGATATTTCATGACTTTTATTCTTTCTTAGAGGTCCCCCAAAGAATAAATAGAAAATTTACTCATTTTTTAAATACAATAAAACTCATTCTATCTTAAAATTACCATAATGGTTCACTGGACTCCTTTGTAAATCTAAAATACATTATGGGATTTTAGTATTCTTATTTTTCATATGTCTCATAACATTCTGCTATTTCATTATCCTAGCAGTTATTTCATTATTATTTGTCAATTATTCCTAACTATGCTAGAAAATGTCTAAAAGAATAAGACAACAGAAGAATGATGAACTTGCTTCAAATGATGGTTCTCAACTAAAGGTGATTTTTGTCCCCCAGAGGACATTTGGCAATGTGTGGAGATATTTTTCATTGTCCTAAGTGAGTGTGTTTCTTGGCACTTAGTTAGTAGAAGCCAGGAATACTGCTAACCATCCCACAGTGCATAGGTCAGCCCCTGACAACAAAGAATTTTCCAGCCCAAAGTGTCAACAGTGCCAAAGCTGAGAAATCATTTTTCATTTTATGCACATAATGGCAGAAAAAAGAAAACTGACAAAATAGATCTTTCAGAATTATCAGATGGATCAAAAGATGATTGCAAAGAGACAGACAGCAGTACAGTAGCTTCTAATTTTGGCTGTGAAATTGAAAATCTAAGAATCTAAGTCTCCAGAGAACAATATTCTAGATGAATTTCTGAAATTCAAGCATTGATGAGTGACCAATATATTTATAAGGACAAAAATGAACCATGGTATTCTCATCCATTTAGTCACTCAACATGAAAACTTCATTGTGCAATCTTCTACAAGAACTGGAACCATCTCATTTTTCCAAAAGGATATGTAATAGTATTCTTTAATCGTTTTTGATATTTGTGCAACTAAACTTTTCTTATTTTTTTGGCTGCGCCGGGTCTTAGTTGTGGCACATAGGATCTTCATTGCAGCATGCAGGCTCTTTCAGTTGCGGCATGCAGGATCTAGTTCCCTGACCAGAGATCAAACCCAGGCCCCCTGCATTGGGAGCATGGAGTCTTAACCCCTGGACCACCAGGGAAGTCCCTGTGCAACTAAATTTACTGAAATGGTTCACATGTGAAGACATGCCAAAGGTAGGTGTGCAAATAAAAGTGGCTGGGACAAAATAAATAATGTAAACATTTTTAAATGCATCCAATTAATCATACTAATTACTGTTTATGCATCTAAAAATGAAAATGTTTTGCAATTATGAAGCAAAGATGCCTGACTTCAACAAAGTTACATACCACCAAAGTTCACAAAAGTATTGAGTTTTGGGTCTTCCCTGGTGGCGCAGTGGTTGAGAGTCCGCCTGCGGATGCAGGGGATGCGGGTTCGTGCCCTGGTCCGGGAAGATCCCACATGCCGTGGAGCGGCTGGGCCCATGAGCCATGGCCGCTAAGACTGAGCATCCGGAGCCTGTGCTCCGCAACGGGAGAGGCCACAACAGTGAGAGGCCCGTGTACCGCCAAAAAAAAAAAAAAAAAAGTATTGAGTTTTGAATATGCAAGTGTAAGTAGTATCAGTAGTAACAATAAGCTAGAACTTACCAGAGATGTATTTGAAATCATTTAGAGCTGAGACCAATCTAATTTTAAGAAAATTAAATATAAAAGCGTTGTTACAAAGTGAGACGAATCATTTGCTCTTTAGCACAAATAACTACTTAATCCTTAAGTAATGAACTACCTGGTACATTAAAAATGTGATTAATTTAATATTTTAAGCAAATTTATAAGGCTTAATGACTTTTCCTCACTCCTTAATAAATGGAAGAAAATCATTCGTTAAAACTAAAATTTCTTAAACTTAGTAAGATCTGAGAATACTAAGAATGTATTATTAGTATCACTGTACACTTTGAAATGAAATCTAAAAGGAACATGACGAAAACCTTCAAAGTTGCTACAACCTCTATACTTTCATAACAGAACTGACAAACTTTTTGCAAGGAATTTCTGAGTGATGAATAAATGATACTTAATATTTCCAATAAATGACGCTTGAATAATAACCTTAATTTGATACCGCAGTTCACAGTTTAAGGTGTTTTAAAAAATAACGTTGAAACAAAATTAGAAAAATATTTATACCTTAACTGACTGTAAGATGCTGGTCCCCTGTTCAGTTTCAATTTTGCAATTATCACACTCAATATTTTCGACTTTTACACAGCCAGACCCTGATGACTTGATATTCAAATCTAGAAATGAAAAAAAGAAAAACCAAGTTAGTACTATGGTTAATGAGCTCCAAAGCATTTCAGTGTCCCGCAGAAATCCAGCTCCTCAGTTTACTGAATCCTGGAAAGAACACAGCTGTCAGCAGCCTCTCTCTAAAGGTAAGGGATCTCCACCACAGCAACAGGACCAAATGTAAAGCCCTTTTCTACCAGTTTTTAAAAAGCAGTTATTTCTGTTGGCAGATATCATCTAAAGAGAGAAAGTAACATAGGAGATAAGTAAAGCAGGTCAAAGCTTCCAGTTCTTATAGAAGATCATAGAAGCCTCTTCGCCACTGAGAAAATACACAAACACAGATTTGAGTAAGAGTGCAGCAAGTTAACAAGTCATTATGGTGAACTGGATAAGTCAGTTAGCTTATTCTCTTCTATATTCATGAAAGTTTAAAGATTTGTTCCCAAACTTTCCCCAAGTTAAAAAGCCTACTGCAGGAGTGGCATGGATCAGTATATATGACCATGAGTTCGGTTTTCAAATCCTACCTCTAACCTTTCATATGTAAAAAATGAAGATATTATCATGCAACTATATCACAAGGTATTTGAAGTAATAAAAAGTGGGAACAACTTTGAAAAATCTAGTACTGAATAATATTAAAACCTCAAAATTGTGGATAAATAACAGTGATATATACAAAGAAAATCTGGCAAATAAGCCATACTTAGCTTTAAAGTTTAACTTTAAATTCAATTTAAGGTGTAACCTTAGGTGTCTCTGTATAAAAATTAAAAATCTTTAAAACACTGATATTTAATACCTAGTTCAAATAAATATTGATGATTTCCCTTAAAACAGATCAGAGAATTAATGCTACCCCAAACACAAACTACTGGGGTCTTAGCACTACAATTCCAATAGTCATGACATAAAAATCAATTTCTACAGTTGAGTATATGGCAGTCTCTATAAAGGCAATATTTTGGTTGGGATTAATATAAAATACATAAAAAGACAATTTTGCCCCATACTTACATGGATGGAAATGTAACTGCAAAACTTTCAGCTAGTTAAGTAGTGTTACAACATAAGGTTTGATCTCAAGCAGTAATGATAGGCATGGGAAGAAGAAAACAATTTCTAAATATACTCTACCCTCAGTAGGTGGGTAGAGAAGTTAAGGCTACATACTGAGTGGTAGTAATGCTACGCTCACTCATTCACTGAAACAGTTATACACGAACTGGAGGAACATGAGTAAGTATGAGTAAAATTGAATTATGTTGATTTGAGGGACTGTGGAATATCCACATGTTAACACTAAATTGGAAATGAAATTCTGGCTCTAAAAAGAGGAATCAGCAAATAATAAGGTTTGGGTAGTTCCATTTTTATCTGTGCTGCCATAAAATTTTGCTTATCTCTATTTCAATACTCAGTCTATTTTGTACTGCATAATACATTGGCAAATCTTCCTCCCCACCCCAGACTGTTAACATTTTGAGATCAGGGTCTCTTATTCACCTAGGCTAGTTAAAAACAAGTTGAGAAGCAATAAGGCATAGTGGTTCAGCAGACTCCAGTCAGTTCAAATCTCAGCTCCACCACTTTATATCTGAGAGAAAATAGGCATATTTCTTGATCTAACCCCACTACAAATTAAATTTCATGAAGGCATGGATTTCTTCTACTTGTTCACCCACAATAAATACTTAGTATATGAAACTTGCTGTATCTCAATTCCCTCATCCTAAATGGTGACAATAAGTGTCTATAATACAGTGCAACAGTAAGGATTGAAAAAGATGATCTTAGAAGTGTTAGTTGCTATTACGATCTTCATTAGTATCTTCCTTCAGTCCCGGGAAGTCGGAGAGCCAGGGAAGACTTTCCTAGAAAAGTGCTGCGTACACAGTCGCTTCCATGGGAGAAACAACATGGAACCCAAATACCTACGAAACATATCTGGCAGCCATTATCAGTTGAAGTTTCCCAGGCAATCTTACTATGTGTTTTTCTTCATGGCCTGCTACTCAGAGAACATTTACTTAGGCCAGAATGAGTGGTGACGTTTTCAGTAAGAAGCCGGGTGCCTATCAGAAACCAAACACCTGGTCCAGGTTCGATGGAACATGCTAAAGACAAGGCTGTTGGGGACAGACGCCAGGCAGTGAGCAAGAGGAAACGCGGATGGTCTGCCATGCCACTGAGTGGATTATCAAGATACTTTAACCCTGAAAAATACACCACATTGTTACCGACAAAGTGCAGTGACACAAATAGGAACAAAGTGCCAAAGGAGAACAGAAGGGGCTCCACAAATGTTATTCGTCTTAGATTATTCCAAATCATGTTTCCATTCAATTTATAAAATTGCTGTAATTGAGAACCTAATTCCTAACTACTGCCCAGAAACCCAAAGCACAACAGAAAAAAAGAGGCAACCTCCGAAAGCGTAAATTGTAAATTACGTTGGAAAGTCAGATCCAAAGGGACCAATTAAAAATTAGGTCGGCCTAATTCTATAAATTCACTGGATGTGCCCCGGGACCCAAGCCCGTTTAAACTTCACTTGCCAAACTTCAGGGGCGCGTTCACTTCCACGGACGCCTGGGGGTCGATGACGTCAGACACGATGGCCACCTCCTTCTGCGCCTCGTCGTACCTCACCTGCAGGCTGGCCACGGCCCCACCCTCCACTCCGCTCACCGCCACCAGCACGTGGTCACCATCCGGGTAGGTGAGAGGGTCCAGGGGCCTCACGGCTAGGGAGCAGGGGAGCCGCGTCCGCAGCCGGCCGAAAGGGCTCACCAGAAGTGCCCACTCCTTCAGAGTCCGGCGCGCGGGACCAGACCGAGAGACGTCGGGCTGGGACCCACCTGAGCCGTACAGCCGGGCCTGACAGGCCCCGCACGCACAGCGCCCCGCGACCTCGCTGGCCCACACTCGGAGCAGACAGAGCCGGAGGCAGCCCAGCCCCCATCCCGAGCAGGGGACGAACATGGCGTGCTCTCACGCTCCCTCAGATCACCTCAGCCACAGGCTAGTCTCGCCACGGCCAGTCGACTTGGCCGCTGTGCCGGCGCAAGTCAAAAGGGAGACACCTGAGAGGGTGTGCTGAAGCAACAGCAGGACTGCTCACTTCGTTCAGCAATTTAAACCTCAGCTACACACGCCTCGGGGGCAAATTGGAATTTCAAAGCGCTAACTATCCACCCTGACCCTGACTCCTCGCCTACTCCCGCCCTTTCGCAAAGGCCGGTGGGATAGGTAGTTCTAATGGTGTCAGACGTCGAAGGGCTCGGCGGCTTAGAAACTACATTTCCCAAGAGGCAATGCGCAAGGTTGTTAAGGCTAGTAAGAGCAGGTGTTACACGGGACTCGGAAGGCAAGCGCTCCTTTCCTCTAGCCAATTATCCATTGGAGGGACGGGGGGGGAAAAAAAAAAAAAAAATCACACCAGAATCCACCTGACCAATGGAAAGCGTGGAAGGCGAAAGATGGGCAAGGCTGTGTGGTTTCCTTGGATACCGAGGACGCTACTTCTTTAGAGAGGGTGGAGCTTTGGAGTCAGACGAGGAAGCCAAAACTCACAGAGAAAAATAGGAGCCTAAATAAGCATCAGGACCGAGGGAAGTGGTAGGAAATTGCGCTTTTAAAGGTGAGAACTAGATGCAAAATAGGAGTACCCTCAGTGAGTGGTTAGTTCCAAACTTCATTAAACTAGTGCGGGGTACCTTGGGATAGAGAATCCCTAGGCAAGAGGATCAAGACCAGTTAGTGTTTTCTGAGGAAACTCCCTCTTTGATATCAAATGTAGGAATAGCGTTAGAGTCCTGTCTCCTTCCTGACTCTAAGTGATCTTACGTCAGTCATTGAACGTCTCTGGGTTTTAACCGCTCGCTCTTAAAATGAGGTCAATAATACTTTCCTTGTCTTGCCTCAAAGGGTTTTTGTAGGGATCAAATGAGATAATGGATGTGAACACGCTGCACAGGCTGCCAAGTTGCAATTTAAATTATTATATTTTTATTTTATAGCATAGACTCTAAGTTACCAAGAAAAATCTGAGCGATCACGATTTGTGTTGACAGCAGCACTGTTCCCTTTGACTACAAATGATCCTCGGTTTTAGGACTAAAATAAGAGAGAGAGAGAGAGAGAGAGAGATAGTGCCATGGGAAGAGTATGGAATTGGTTATTTTCCTGGCTCGGCCATTGGTTTATCTGTGTCACCTACACCTGTTTCTTCCACTTTAAGATGAAGAAGGATTGTACTAAACGACTCCGTAAGGTCTGTTTTACCTTTTATCATTTTGTGGGCAATTTAAAAATGAGAAAAGATTTATTTTCTCCTTTCCTGCTCTCTCTCCCTTTCTGTGCCAGTTCCTCCTCCTACAAATTATTCCCTAAGTTCTTTAGCAAAGACACCCTGCAAACAATGACGTCCGATAAAATGCAAGTGCTGAAACTGAATGCCATAAAAAATTGAAGCCCTTGGCCAAGTGCAATAACCAGAATTACTGGGAGTAATAGTGATAGAGGGATAGGCTAAAGTCCTAATGAAGTGAGCTAAAGTCCTCAGGGGCCCAAGTCATAGGGTGCTTTGCAAGCCATTACCTTGTTAGAAATTCAGTGTTTTTCTTAAGTTATCCTTTCCTCCTTTCTGTCCCAGTCCTTCCTCCCTCCTTATTCTTCCTCCTTATGAAGGCTCACAATAGGTGCAAGCTTTTAGGTTCACCAAGTTCCCACTGTATACTAGTTCTATCCTTGACTTTGTGTTTCATTTGGTCATAATTATTCAAACTGATCTTCAAGCAGTCTTCTTAATGAAAACCCACAGGAATAACTTTGAAAAAGGCATTGGCTTAAGCAAGTTGAGAATGCACTTAAATTTGTTGTACCCATGCCAAACATTTTTAGATTAAATAGAAAACCCTAATAGATAATTTCTTTCTATGGTAATTTTTCCTTTTCTGATGCAAACCTAGTTAGTGGAGTTGGCAACTGAACAATAATTGCATATGTGGCAAAATCATTGTTTTATGATTTTCAAATAAACAAAAGAAAATTGACAAAAAATTACTTTTTGGATCATCTGAGTTTTAAAATGGAGAAAATTATGTATATTAAGGTTAACGTAAGATATTAAAAATTTATTGATACTTTTAAAGGTCTAATGACATGTAGCAAGTCTGTCCACATATCAGTAATGACCAATAAAAGTACTACCTTCCACCTGTATGACATTATAGTATTCAAAGCATGTTTACATGTATCATCTCATAGTATCTTCACAAAACACTCTGTTTGGCAGGGCAAGTATTATTTTGCTCACATTATTGATGAAGAAACAAGTTTTGAAAGGTTAAAAAACAATTAGAAGGTCTGGCCGTCTTACCACTTTGTCAAAAGGTCCTTCTATCTTCCTGACACCTTTGGAGAAAAAAAAGTTATTTATGAAATGAATAGAGAGTCATATATAACTCTCCCGCATATTTAGAGTTTACTTGTAGCATACTTTTACACGTTCAGTTTTTTAAAAGCCATTCCTGTGGTCATGAACATGTCCAGCTGGTAGGAGTGTAAGTTATTAAAACTTTCAGAGTTCAGTTTAGCAATATGCATAAAACACCCTAAAATATGTGTATCCACGACCTGGAAACTGTACTTCTTGGAATTTAATGTAAACATAAAATTAAGGATGTTCACAAAAACTTACATTTACGGAATTTTTTTTTCAGGATTACTTACGATAGTAAAGAATTGAAGCAACTTAAATGTCCAAAAACAGGAGGGTGTTACATAAATTAGTATACGTATGGAATATTATGCAACTTAAAATTGTATTTTGAAAACTATTCAATGAAATGGGAAATCTTCCATAACATAATTGTAAAGGAGAATCCTACAATTCTCCTTCTGTGTATGTCTCCTTGACTCTCACACAACTACCACACTCACATAGCTTCACTTCTGACACTTCTAGTAATCAGATGTGTGGAGGTTTTCCCCTGCAACAAGCGACAATTTAACTCACTTCTGACACTAATGTTAGATCCCACAGGTTAGGGGCTCATTTCCCCAAAACCACTCCCATCCACTTCAGATGCCAGTCACAAGTAGTAGGTCCTCAGGTTACCCACAACTTCTATCTCCTCTGGTTACAAACTGGAGATTCCGACAACCCCCTCCTCAGGTTCTATTCATTTGCTAGCGTGGCTCACAGAACTCAGGGAAACACTTAAATTTACCACTTTACTAAAGGGTTTGATAAAGGATGCAGATGAACAGCCAGATGAAGAGATGCAGAGGGTGAGGCCTGGGAGGGTCTGGACCACCAGAGCTTCTGTCCCCGTGGAGCTGCGATGTGTCCCCCCTCCTGGTGTGGGTGTGTTCACCAGCCCGGAAGCTCTCCAGACCCCATACTAGTGGGAATTTTATGGAAGCTTCATCACATAGGCATGATCGATTACTAACTATATTTTCAGTCCTTCTTCCTTCTCAAGAGACTCAGGGGTAGGGCTGTAGATTCCAAGCTTCTAATCATGTCTTGTTTTTTCTGGTGACCAGCCCTCATCCAGGAGTCTACCCAAAGGTGCTTCATTAGAACAAAAGACTCACCCAGGAAATTATAAGGGTTTCAGGAAGCCCTTGTTAGGAGCCAAGGGCAGAGACCTATATATATATATATTTCTATTATCTCATAGTAATGTTAAGTGACATGAGTAGAATACCAAATTGTATGTATAGTATGATCTCAATTCTATAATAATAGGAATTTTAACATATATTCCATAGAAACAATTGCAGAGAGAAACACACAACTTGATAACAATGCTTATCTCCAAGTAGTAAAATGAATTATTTCATTTTTTTATGTGTCTTCAATAATGAACATATATTACATTTATAATTTAAAAAATTTAAATGTACTTCTTAGCATATATTGTTTCCTAAGACTGACTCAAATAGTGAGTCAGTCTTTCTCACCATCTAAATGCCATCTAAATATTCTAAATGAATATTTTACTTAATTTAATAATTAATATTCAATAAATGTACAATTTAATATACCAAATGAAAATTCCATATTGAAATTTTATTATGATTGACTATTCTGATAGTTAAAGCCACAATTTAAGCAGCTGTTGCCTAAACTAGCCTAGTGATTAAATCTTGACACCTTGCCCTGTGATGAAGAATTAACAACTTCACACAGCCTAATGGAACAAATTTATTCAACACTGGATTATACATTCTGTAAAGTGAGTTACATTCTCTCATTGAGGGACCGAGTCGTTTCAAGTGTTGGGGCAGGGAGGGCGGGGCCCCTGCAGCTGGGAGTCCCCTCCCCGCCAGGGCTCTTCTTCAGACTTTCCTGAACTTTGGCTGAAGTCCCCTGGCTTCTGGCTGAGCTCAGGAGATCCCCTCTGTTTGTCTTCCATCTCCTTCAGAGGGGCCAACTGCTGTGGCTTAGAGAGTCCTCTCCGAGCGACCCATCAGCCCCTGAGGCTCTCAGGCTGCAAAGTCATAAATATTCAAGGCCTCTTGTCCATGATAGGAAATGGTCGCCATGTTAAGTTCTGTGGACTGAATCTATTCAGAAAGGGATCTCTCTCAAGTTTAAAAAAGGGAAATTTACTTGCCTTGTGCTACAAAAATAAGAAACTTAAAGATTTGTCCTTAAAGATCCACTGACTTGCAACTTCAAGGTCCTAGGTGAGGATAACTTGTTATAAGTACTTTCATTACAGCATTAAAAAATGCCAGGTAGGTTTTATAAGTCGATGAACTCTACAACTCCTACACCTTACAAATGACAGATGATACTTGCATGAAATTGGCAACTGTCTTCCAGGAAGCCCTAGGATTTACAAGATGCTCTGAGTGACATCAGTCACAAAAACCATGTGTGGACAGCCACAACAGACTGTCACAAAAACGAAAAGACAACCCACAGAACGGGAGAAAATATTTGCAAATGATGTGACCAACAAGGGCTTACTTTCCAAAATATACAAACAGCTCATACAACTCAACAACAGAAAAACAAACAACGCAATCCAAAAATGGGCAGAAGACCTAAACAGACATTTCTCCAAAGAAGACATACAGATGGCCAATAGGCACATGAAAAGATGCTCAACATCACTAATTATTAGAGAAATGCAAATCAAAACTACAATGAGGGGCTTCCCTGGTGGCACAGTGGTTGAGAGTCCACCTGCCGATGCAGGGGACACGGGTTTG